TTGATGATCTATTTGAGTGTTTTATAGATTCTGGAAACCGGATATTAGCTTTCTATCACATGTAGAGTTTGCAAATATTTCCTCTGATCTTGTATGTTGTCTGTTTGTTCAGTTGATTATTTCCTTAGCTGTGCAGAAGCTATTTAATTTAATCAAATATCACTTTTTTATTTCTATTATTGCTGTAATTGCTATTGGGCTCATAGTCATAAATTCTTTGCCTGGGATGATATCTGTAAAAGTTTTTTCTATGTTTTATTTTTAGAATTCTCATGGTTTCATGCCTTATAATAAAGAATTTTATTCATCTTGAGTTTATTTTTTGTGAGTGGTGAGAGTTTCATTCTCCTGCATGTGGCTATCTAATTTCCCAGTATAATTTATTGAATAGATCTTTTCCCCCTGTGTGTATTATTGTATGCTGTGTCAAAGATCAGTTGGCGATAGGTAGATGGTTTTATATCTAGGTTTTTTGTTCTGTTTCCTTGGTCTACGTCTTTATTTTTGTTTCCATGGCTGTGCAGAAACTTCTTACTTTAATCAAATCCCATTTAGTTATCTGTTACTGTGATTCCCATTGGAGTCTTATAAATTCTTTGCCTAGACAGATATCTAGAAGCGTAGTAGCAATCATATGCACCAATAATAGTCAAGCTAAAAGTCATATCAAAAACTAAATACCAATCAAATAGCTATAATACTTAGGAATATACTTACTTAAGGAGATGAAAGATCTCTACAAAGAGAACTACAAGACACTAGGAAGATGTGTCAAAAATTATCCATTGGATACAGTGTACACTAGTATACAAAGACACACTCAAAAACCTTGATTTTACCACTATACAAGTCATTCATACAACCAAAACCACTTGCAATTCCTAAATCTGTTAAATATATTAAAAAATAGAATAATACTATAAAATTTATATGGAAAGGCAAACAATACAGAATAACTGATAAAATATTAAAGAAGAAAAACAAAGTTAAAATTCTGATGCTACCCATTTTTAAGACTTATAATAAAGCTATGATAACTAAGACAGTGTATTACTAGTGAGAATGCATACATACACTAAAGGAACATTAAAAGATTGCCCAAAAATAGATGCAAATTTAGTGAACCTATCTTTGACAATGGAACAAAGGCTATACAACGTATAAAGGACAGTTTTATAAAAAACCAAAAAGTAGTCAAATAATTGGACATCAATACGAAAAAAATACAGACATAGATCTTACACATTTTACTAAACCTAAAATGTTTCATAGAGTTAAACATAAAATACAATGCTATAGTACTAGTAGAAGAAAATTCAGGTGAAAATCTACATGACCTTAGGTTAAGCAAAAAAAAAAAAAAACATGATTCATGAAAGACAAATTGATAAGTTAAACTTTATTAAAACTTAACGCTTCCTCTCTGCAAGACACTGTTAAGAGAATAAAATGACAAATCATAGACAATTATATGTGTGATCACGGATCAGAGTTGGAGATGTCTGCATAAAGTCATATTTTGCAAGCTGTTTACAAATCACATAAGTGAGAGAAATGATTTGTATCAAGACTAAAATTCTGAGTTGCCATATCTACATACTGGAATTGAACAATTCAGAATATATTAAATAGATGATTGATGTGAGCAAGGTTTCTCATAGTTCGAGCAGAAATTCACAGTGAAGTGAGGGAAGGAGCTAGAATTATATGTGTGATCATGGATCAAGTTGGAGATGTGAGCATAAACTCATATTTTGCTTAGTATAGACACAGGTGTTTACATACAGAAGTATTTATAGATATATGTACTTTAATATGTTAGTATACACACATATATTCTCTTTTCTTATTCTCTAAATGAGAAGGGCTACAATCAAGAACACTCTATTAGCCAAGAGTACATCTACCACACATACACATACCTTGGTTTCAAATACCATTCTTAATTGAAAGTAACCATGATGGAATAATAGGTTTTAGAACTTTGACAGGCAAGATCCTCCTGGAGCATCTATCTTATAGTGCTAGAAAGCAAGGATGTGCCAAAACAAACAATCAAACTAAATAAAAATCCCACATTGATGGGGGCATGTCAAAGACATTTTGGTTTTAAATAAAGACCTTCCTTTGGCTTAAGCTGAAATAATTTGAAAAAATAAAATAAAGTACATCTGATTATAATCCAAAGTATAAAATATATATTCATAAGTCAATTTTAAAATAATAAAGGATTGAATAAATGAAGGGGGAGGAAAAAAAATCTCCACATAAAATACTTTTAGTTAGATACTCTCCCCTCATGACTTCCCCTGATTACAGTATAGGCTTTTCATAGTCACTTCCTTTCAAGACCATACTATGAAAGAAGAATTTTTAAAAAGAAAAAAAATTAAGTTGATTGTGGAGAGACATGACAAATGTCATCCTGGTCACACAAAGTCAAAATCAACTGTAATAAGTCATGTTGCTGATTCATATTGCTGATATGATGTAATTAAAATGGTATTCTTTGTCTATGGTCTTCTTACTCAAAACATATAACTCTAGCCTAATCAAGAGAAAAATATCATAAGCATACCGAGAGAGGGATATTTTACAAAATACCGGACTAGAATTCCTCGAAAATGCCAAGGTGATATTCTGTATTGGATCTTGGTATGTAAGAAGAATATTAGGAAAAATCTAAGGAAATATAAATAAAACAACATTGGTAGTGAAGTATAAAAATTGGTTTATTAATTATAACAAATGAATAATACCAGTTTAAGATGGTAATAATAGGAAGAACTGGGTTCAGGATATGTGGGAGTTCCACATTATCTTTCAAATTTATCTGTAAGTCTAAAACTATTTAAAATATAGTTATTTTAAAAGGAAAGCATTGTTAACAATTTCAAAGGAAATGGAGCTTTAAATGAAGATGTGAATATAGCAGATGGTTAGAAATACCATAGTGTATGATTATAGTAGAATCATGTAGGTTCAAGTGGGAAAGGGGGAGCTGATGAAGCTGAGCCAATGAGTATATTCAATTCTTCAAGGATGTTTTGTGGGCAATATAAATTAAAAACAGATATTTTAGTTGATCACATTAATTGCTAACAGAGATTTCTTAGCATCTATTTGTTGAAGTCCCTAGGATTTGAAATCTGTATCTCTCTCAATTCCATAATTAAAGATGTGGAATATAATTCCTTAAAAAAAAAAAAAAAAACTCTAGCATTTCAGGGCAGAATGATGTTGGGGACATAGAAAAGGACGATCAGGGTACGGAAACTGAAGAACCAAATTCTTCCATACTAAGGGCATAGAGATTATGCTTTAAGATATAGAACGATTAATGACTCTCGTAAATAATTGAAAGAAATGCACTGAAAATACAGTCGAGAAAATGAACAGCTATATAGATCTCAGAATATGTATACTCCTCAAAATAGAAAGGTTTTTGTAGGTTCTCACACACAGAAAGATTATTTACTGTTTCTAGATAATTTAAGAACTACCCAAATCAGTTCACTTAATTTGGTCTATGTTTTCTTTCTTTCAGACTTCTATAACTATCTTTTCAATTTTTCATCATTTGATTTTGTTAAGATGTTCTACTGCTGGAAATATTTTTTTTCTCTCCTGAACAAAAGATAAAAAAAGTATTTAAGTATTTTCATATTAAGTTAAGTAGTGTGGAGAAAAAATGCCAAACTAAACTATAGGGTTCATATTAGACTTAGAATTGTTGTATCTTGAAATCTAATTCTTTCTCAGAAATTGAGAGCCTTCACAGCATATAATGAATAACTTCAATTCAACTATGTCTTTATTCTCTATATAGACAAGATAAAGATTTATTATTATTACTGTTCAGATCTAATATCTTAAAGACAAAATATTATTAGTAATATTTAAGTTCAGAATTCTACATTTCTATGAAATTCTTTCATAAATATAAAGGGAATGGGAAGAATGTTATGTTAGAGTCTCTTTCACCTAAACCGCGTGTTTCTTGAATTTTTTGAGGATTCTGTCACGTATTTGCTTGGTCTTAATGCTATATACAATGGGGTTCATCAGAGGTGGGACCAACAAGTAGACATTTGCCATGATCACGTGGACAATTGGAGAAGCATTCTGTCCATAGCGACGGATCATGGATAGTCCAATCATTGGTGTATAGAAGGTGAAAACAGCACAGATGTGGGAGATGCAAGTATTGAGAGCTTTCACTCTCTCAGCCTTGGAGGCTATGCTCAACACCGTGCCCAGGATGAGGGTGTAGGAGAGGAGGAGAAGCACTGAATCAAGACCCATGGAACAGATAACCACCATGAGGCCATAGATACTACTGACCCGACGGCTGGAGACAGTTGTCTTTATGAGGTCCTGGTGCAGGCAAAAGGGGTAGGAGAGAATATTGACAGCACGGTATTGAAGTCTCTTCAGGAGGAAGGAAGCTGGAAAGACAAGAGTCAAGGCCCTTCCAGCAATTGCCAACCCAATCCCAATGATTACACTATTGGTTAAAATGGCTGCATAACGCAAGGGTTCTCGGATTGCTACAAAGCGGTCAAAGGCCATGGCCAAAAGCACAGCAGACTCAATAATTGAGAAAACATGAATGAAGTACATCTGGATCAGACAAGCATTGAAGGGAATCTCCCGGGCATGGAACCAGAAGACACTGAACATGGTAGGCAAGGTAGTGGTAGATAAGCCCAAGTCAGTGAGAGTCAGCATTGACAGGAAGTAGTACATTGGTTGGTGGAGGGAAGGCTCAGTTCTTATAATGAAGAGGATAGTAATGTTCCCCGCAATCGAAGTGACATAAACCAAGAAGATGGGGAGAGAAATCAGTCCGTAACTGCTTTCCAGGCCGGAGAAGCCTGTCAGGAAGAAGCGAGGGTATAAGGTAGAACTGTTGAAGACAGACATTCTGCTGGTGGAAGAACCTTCAGTTCAGAGGAGGTAAGAATATGGCAAATCAGAGTAAAAGCCAATATTGCAACAAAGAACTATGTTTTGATGTATGCAATCTGTATTTAGTGCTTTTAATCACTCTTCTGCTCATTATATTTAATTGCCACCTGCATTCATTGTTTTACCAATTGATTTATTCTGTCATTGTTATGTATTTATTGACAACTTTTTTTTTTTAATGGAGTCTTGCAATATTTCCCAGACTGGTCTAGAATTCCTGGGCTTGAGCATTCTTCCCACCTCAGCCTCCTGAGTATCTGAGACTACAGGTATATGCTGTCACACCAATAGCATATCTTATTAAAGTAAATCTGATAATACTAAAAAATACAGGCTTGTATAAGACCTTCAAATACTTACAAAGTACTGGATGAGGAATTAAAATTAAGTTTTAGATTAACACTTTAAAGATTAAATAATAATACAAGATAATATAAAACACAAGGAGGAACTTACCTTCCTGGAGGTCAGGAAAGATTTATTGAAGGAGATTCTTGAATTAGGTCTCAAATGATAAATTCAAGTTACATGGGATCAAAAGGCTGTGATGCAAATGCTATAGTGATTGACACAATGTAACTAGAGAGCATGAGAAATGTAAGCAAATATGTTGAACAAAGGGTAGATGGCACTTCATATGGTTGTGGGAGCTAAGATTAAATGGAAACGTACCAGGATTTGTGAAAGAACTTGTGGTAAATATGAGGACCGTGGATGTAACCTCAAAGGACACAGGTATTCATTGTCATACAAAGTAAACAACTTGGTCTGATTTCTATTTCATGGATGTCAAACTAGAATCAATTTTAAGAATGGTCTCAAAGTGGAAAAAGCAAAGGCAGGGAAACTCTTTAGGAGGCTCTTGTAAAAAAAAAAAAAAAAAGGTAGATGGAAGTGGAATTCAATGGCAGGTATCATAAAGAATAAATAGGGGGTGGTGTCTGTGGCTCAAAGGAGTAGGGTGTCGGCCCCATATGCCAGAGGTGGCAGGTTCAAACCCAGCCCTGGCCAAAAATAAATAAATAAATGGGTATAATAGTTACATCAGTAGAAAGGGTAGCACAGATAATGTGAAACATCATATATTCTAAGAGTGAGAAAAACATTAACACAGAGTAAGTTAACTTATTTAGTAGATGTTTGTGTCATTTATAGGAAAAAAACAGATAAATGGAAGAAAAGATAGGTATAGAAATTTGATGAAAACAGTGGACAAGATGATCCAGTTTATTTATAGTAAATCTGAGGAGAAGTATGTTATTTATAGAAGACTGGGAAGGGAGAAATGACTCCTACTCGCCACTCTGAGAACATGGAGAGGAAGAGAAAATGTTATAGAAAAAAAAGAGTATTTAAACAAAAATATAATGTAATGCCAAGTTATAGGAAGAATATAATGTTATGCATGCAAGACTCAGTTACCCCAAAAGATTACTTAGCTGTAGGGAACATTGGAGGCAGATTTCACTGTGGACTGAAGAAGACAGGAATTATGGCCCTAGAAATCTCAGTTACTAAGCAATGTAATGGCTGTCCAATTCAACACTCTGGGCACAAAACATCAAGAAATCGTTTTCACATAATGTATTCCATGTCCAAGTTTTGCCAAAATTTGCACAGCCCATTTCCTAACCTGTTCTCTACCAGAACAATCACACTTTATAGTTGCCTCTAACAGATATCATTATAAAATAACTAACAATGTAACTGTCTACAAGAATGACGGGAATTTTTCATTCTGGTACCATTTTCTTTTCTTTGTAGGAACAGATACAGTGAAGAGAAAAAGAGAATAGATTTACATGTTCTCATTTAGTGACTTACATATTATACTAACCATAAGGATATATGTATTAAGGAAATGCGGGTCTTTATATGCCTCCCTCCCTTTTCTTATTTTTAGGTCATAAACTTCTGGTCTGCATCACTAAACACCAACTGTGTCATCACTTTGACACTCACAGTAATTATTTTCTTCTTTCCTTATGCCTGCCCTCGAATCCTTCAATAATCTTCAGAGTCTCCATCCTGCATAGTTATGCTAGTCTCTCCTAGGTAACTCTCATCCACTTCTCCTCATAAAAGCCTCTGACTTAGAGTATTCATAATCCAATTTCTCTATTAGATATAGACAGAAACATCCTTCTTTCAATGGCTACTACTCCAGAGTTTGAAAGTCAAATGACAATTGTTATTTACTACATCTAACAGTTTGTATGGATTACTAACAGAGAATTGTATTATTTTATGTAATGTTTAAGGGATTCAAACAGTTTTATCTAAAGTTCTTGGCATAATGTCTGTGACTTAGGAGATACTTTGGGCTTAAGTGAGATAAAATGTTAGTCAAGATACTGAAGTAGCCACGATCTTAAGTGTATCAGTGATACACGGCAGTGACCCAAATGCAGCTGTGACCTGGAGTGCTCAAGTTGTCACGTGTAATTTCTTTTGTTGTTGGCATTCATAATATTGTTAAGTGTGCATGCCCATATGTAAGTTAGAGAAAGAGGAGGCACTCAGGTCATCATCAACATTACCAAAACCAACTTCAGCAGTTTTAACATTACAATTTTTGTTAATATAAGATAGCAATGTTTTGAGAGAACGGAGGTTTTACAGTGGATGGATTCTCACCATAGGTACTATCTGCCCCTGAAGAAGAGTTGATGATGTTATCCAGTCCAAGAGCTCCTCTGAGCAGCGTTAGAAGATGATAGCCTACCTTTTTTGGAGGAATGGCAGTCTGAACCTGTGACCTATTTCCAGAACAGTAGTTTGACAGGTGGTCAGTCCTACCTTTTGTCCTTCCCTTCCACTTTTTAGACTCTTCAAATATGTAACGTATTAATCTCTTACACAATTTTCTCAATTCAAAACCTTTCTCCAGGAACATATAAGCCCTCAAATGCAAACAGCTATTCACCCTGCTACAGGTTGGTTGTGTCTCCAGTCTATCAAGCCTAGGGACTTATATGCAGAAAGAGCCACCGAAGATGGACATAAGAGAAGAATAAAATACACATTGTATCCTAAGGCAGATAGTTCTTCAATGGAGCATGTCCTAGCCCAGTCATCGGTCTCTCCTTCAGTGACTGCAGAGCCAAGATAAAGTCTTTTGACCTTTATCATCCTTGACTCTACCCAGCGAGGTGGATTACTAGCATTACATTTCTGTGCTTTAACTACTCTAATCTGTCTCCCCTTCTTGGCTAGTCTATTCCCCCAGGACCACATACATTTTTTTTTCCAGTAAAACCTCTAGAGAGAATAAATGATGTCAGTGCTGCCAGAACATTTTCTCCTCAAGGACATGCCAATTTCCTGCTCTGGAAGTCCAGATGAGGAAGTAATTGAGAAGTGTTCTGGAAATCATTAGTTGAAGAAAACAAATTGGCTTAATCAGAATGAAGTATTAAAGAAAAAAAATGTGTGCTCTGAGTAACCAGATGCAACATTTTCTAGCTATTGAATACTAGAAAAATTAATCTGTTTTTTTACGCCATGTTTTTGCAACCATACAATAAGAATAATGAAATCTACTCTGTTAATTTGTTGTAAGGAACATAAAAAACATGTGTGTAAAGTGTAAATCCATTTTGCTTAAAGGTAGTACTCATGAAAGCAGTTATAACTATACAGGACTATGGGATCCATATATAGTTATCTCATAATAATTAGATACTAGGCAGAGGGGTGGACACTATGTCTTCATCCAGCAACAAGTCCTACTTACACTGGCCCATAAATCTGCTTCTGGACAGTCCTGAACTGTTATATTCAGTAGAAAAGACAAAAGTGTGATAGGATACAAAAGCTATACCCCTGTGCTCTTACTATCTGTGAAGAAATAAATCCCCTCAAAGTACAACTGTAAAGAACTTCTTATATGTTCATTTGTCCACTACATAGGTGGTAGATACAAAAACGGAGAAAGGGTTTACAACTTTAGATTCAAATCCAATCCTCTGCTTACCCTCTTTCTCAATTGCTCTTCACCTTTCACCACTAGGAAATTTATCTCAATTATGTCATTATTGCTCTTTCTCGAGGAAAATCCCTTTCTTTTTTTTCCCCAAAACTTATAACATCCATGATGTAAATCACTTCTGAGATTCATCATTTTGTTTTCCTTCTCTTCAATACCAGATCAATTCAAATCATTTCCAATAAAATCTTGATTAGGGAGAAACTGACTTCATGGTGGTATCACAGTTACTTCTCATGAAACATTCTTTTAACCAGTTCATCTATTTCTGATTCTGTAACTTGATGTTACAATATTTTTTGCTCAAAAATATTTAATATTCTACATGCTTTTATCATATTTTTCTGAAATTTACAATACCACTATTTTAATAGAACTAGTAGCCAAAAAGCATTAATGAATCAATCAATCCTTTGACAATTATACTTGAGAGAGACTTCACATTGTCAAACCATAGTGTGTGAACATCAAATGCGCCCATTAACCTACTAACATTTTAGAGAAACAAGTAGTGAATACATCTGTATAATTTAGTTTAACCCAGTCTTCTCTAGATACATTTTATCCAGACAGCACTTATTAATATTTGAAATCTGAGCTCTGCATTATTCAACCCAAGAAAGAAAGACTAGAAAATTCTTGCTTTTAAGCAGAGTTTTTCAACATGAAGGATTTTGATTCAAGAGAGCATTTGATGGTGTCTGGGGGGCATTTTGTGTTGAGGAAACACTATTGGCATCAAGTGTGTAGTTCCCAGGATGCTTCTAAACATTGTGCGATGTGCATGGCAGCCACTCACAGCAAAAACTCATCCAGTCAGATGTCAACAGCGCCAATATCAATAAGCCCTATATGGGGTAGAACAAACTGCACTAAAAATCAATGTTTTCATTTTGAGACTCAGAGTAATATGAAAGCAAAGAGCATGAACTCTAGTACCACAATAGTAAAGAGCACGGACTATAGA